AAGGAAGGAAGGAAGGAAGGAAGGAAGGAAGGAAGGAAGGAAAAAAGGAAGGAAAGCGGGAAGGAAGGACAAGGAAGGAAGGAAAGAAAGAAGGAAGGAAGGAAGGAAGGAAGGAAGGAAGGAAAAGGAAGGAAAGAGGGAAGGAAGGACAAGGAAGGAAGGAAGGAAGGAAGGAAGGAAGGAAGGAAGGAAGGAAGGAAGGAAGGAAGGAAGGAAGGGGAGACAGTGAAGTTTAGATGGGAGGGAGTTAAGAAAGCTCCTGTCTAGAAGTTCTCAGAGTACATCTTTAATGATGCATATACTGTAGTTGCTTTAGTTTGGCAAGATTCTGTCCGTAGGTGAAAAACAATAAAGGAAACTGCTTAGACCTAACCCTGCATGTCTTCTCGCTTTTTTGAGTCTGACCATCGGGGCGCAAAGAATCAGGCCCATTCGTATAGATTGCAGCATAAATGATTTATTCATGCCTAGTCAACTGACGGTCAGCACGACACCGATGCTTGATAAGAGTAAATGGAATTCAAGGAGGGAGGATGGACGTGGATCTCTTGTGGCAACGCAAGGACTCTAAACTGATGATGCATTCTGCTCCACCCTCCAGTGCTGCTTTCTCTTCTCCTACACTGACACCAATCTTGCCAAACTCAAACAACCACTGGCATCATGAAAGATACATTCTGTGCATGTGCTTTGCTGGCGCATGTGTCTTCCGTGCATGTGCCCAGCCTCAAAAACGTGTCTAAATAGGATGGCATAGGGCTGGAATAGGTGAGCGAGCCCACCCGCGATTTCCACTACCAGTTCGGGTAAACCAGTCTGAACCGGATGAATACCACCTCTGATCATCCTACACCCAAACTTACTTCTCAGGAATGCATTCCCTGGGAATCCAGACTACATTCTACCACAGGACTAAACCTCTTGAGTTTTTACGGGACTGGAGGCTAAAACATACAAAGAACAATCGTAGGAATTGGGTATGTCTAGTTTCATGAAAAGAAGGACTAGGGGCAGGGTTGAAATCCAGCAGGTTCTGACAGGTTCTGGCAAACCGGTAGCGGAAATTTTGAGCAGTTCGGAGAACCGGCAAATACCACCTCTGGCTGGCCTCAGAGTGGGATGGGAATGGAGATTTTGCAGTATCTTTCCCTCAGGAATGTGGTTGGAATGGAAATTTTGCAGTAGCCTTCCCCTGGAGTGGGGTGGGAATGGAGATTTTGCAATATCCTTCCCCTGGAGTGGGGTGGGAATGGAGATTTTGCAGTATCCTTTCCCTGCCATGCCCACCAAGCCACGCCCACCAAGCCACGCCCACAGAACCGGTAGTAAAAAAAAATTGGATTTCACTACTGACTAGGGGTGACAGGATAACAGTGTTCCAATATCTCAGGGGTTGCCCCAAAGAAGAGGGAGTCAAGCTATTCTCCAAAGCACCTGAAGGCAGGACAAGAAGCAATGGATGGAAACTCATCAAGGAGAGAAGCAACCTAGAACTAAGGAGAAATTTCTTGACAGTTAGAACAATTCATCAGTGGAAGGCTGTATAGGTGCTCCATCACTGGAGCTTTTCAAGAAGAGATTGGGCAGCCATTTGTCTGACATGATATACGGGTTTCGTGCCTGAGCAGGAGGTTGGACTAGAAGACCTCAAGGTCCCTTCCAACTCTCTTATTCTTCCTTCCTTCCTTCCTTCCTTCCTTCCTTCCTTCCTTCCTTCCTTCCTTCCTCCCTCTCCCTCCCTCCCTCCCTCTCTCCATCACTGCAAGTTGTTAAGAAGAGACTGGACAACCACCTGTCTGAAATGGTATAGGTTCTCCTGCTTGAGCAGGGGGTTGGACTAGAAGACCTCCAGGGTCCCTTCCAACTCTCTTATTCTTCCTTCCTTCCTTCCTTCCTTCCTTCCTTCCTTCCTTCCTTCCTTCCTTCCTCCCTCCCTCCCTCCCTCCCTCCCTCCTCACTGCAAGTTGTTAAGAAGAGACTGGACAACCACCTGTCTGAAATGGTATAGGTTCTCCTGCTTGAGCAGGGGGTTGGACTAGAAAAACCTCCAAGGTCCCTTCCAACTTTGTTATTCTGTTAATCGGATGGGATGATAGTCAAATGCTGAATCTTCTGACCAGAAGATCTAAAGAAGGAGTGATGCTCCTTCGCCTGAGAAGCGGCCTCAGCTTAGAGTTGTATCAAACTCTTCCATCCCACGCTACGAGATTTCCTAAGCAGGGAAGATAACCAAGGTTATCACGGGATGAGTGGCGACGGCAGCCTGGCTCAGGTTCTAGTCCAACGTTCTGATTGTCACCTGTCTGTCCCATCGCATTTCTTTTTTCCCATGGAAGCTGAACAGGTAGTCACAGCGATGACCGAGGTGGCTGCCTGCAAAACTTCCATTAGATGTGCAAATGTTGCTTCTGCATTCTAGTCATTACTTAAACCTATTATGGATGATTAGCAACTCCGTGCGACCGTAAATAGCCTGAAAGAGGATCTAAGGCAGTTTAAGCATGGTGTGAAGAGGCCCTTTTGATTCTTGGGGTCTCTGCAATTCGGTCCACTTTGCTGTTGTCTCAATTTTCCCTCCTTTTGTAAGCGCAACATTTTCTCATTTGCTTTTGTCGGCTCAGCGTGGAGTAGCCACGGCTAGTATTAAGATCTTTCCTTACCCTCCATTGAATTCACAAATTGATGAGCTGCCAGGTCCGACACAGTAGAAAATCAAAGATGGAGGCGTGCGCTGTGCCCGTAATCCGAGATGTTTTCTTAGTTGGTTGAGAAAATTAAATGTCAGCCCTGCAACGCATGAAGGTCATTGGATTTTATTACCTAAAGTAATGTACACAGATCTGCCTTGACACGTCCATTTGTCAGGCAGGAACAGGACATTTAGTGGAAGGTGGGTGTGGATATGTAAATGAGCGAGACTAGAGGATAGGATAGGATAGGATAGGATAGGATAGGATAGGATAGGATAGATAGGATAGATCAAATCAAGTTAGGATAGGTTAGGATAAGTCAAGTCGTCAGGACAGGACAGGACAGGACAGGACAGGACAGGATAGGATAGGATAGGATAAGTCAAATCAAGTCGGATAGGATAGGATAAGTCAAGTCAGGATAGGATAGGATAAGTAAAATCAAGTCAGGATAGGATAGGATAGGATAAGTCAAGTCATCCGGATAGGATAGGATAGGATAGGATAGGATAGGATAGGATAGGCCAAGTCAGGATAGGAGAGGATAGTCAACTCAACTCAGGATAGGATAAGATAGGGCTAGGCTAGGCTAGGCTAGGCTAGGCTAGGCTAGGCTAGGCTAGGCTAGGCTAGGCTAGGCTAGGCTAGGCTAGGATAGGATAGGATAGGATAGGATAAGTCAAGTCATCCGGATAGGGTAGGATAGGATAGGATAGGATAGGATAGGATAGGATAGGATAGGATAGGATAGGATAGGATAGGATAGGATAGGATAGGATAGGATAGGATAGGCCAAGTCAGGATAGGAAAGGATAGGTCAACTCAACTCAGGATAGGATAGGATAGGATAGGATAGGCTTAGGATAGGATAGGATAGGATAGGATAGGATAGGATAGGAAAAGACAAGACAAGACAAGACAAGACAAGACAAGACAAGACAAGACAACCTTTAGTGTCATTTTTTACTGCGGGCACACTGGCCCACATTAAAAATGAAAATCTGTTGTCTGCTCTCAAAAGAAAGTATATATTTACCCATGCACATACATAACACACATATACACATGCTGTTACATATATGTGTAATATATGGCTCAAGCATCGCTTAAGTGCCATGTCCTAGATAGAACAAATCCTATGACGAATGACTGAAGGAACTAGGTCTGTCTACTCTAATGGGGAAAAGGGTTAGGGGTGACATGATAGCAGTCTTCCAGTATTTGAGGGGCTGCCACAAAGAAGAGGGGGTCAACCTATTCTCCAAAGTGCCTGAAGGCAGGACAAGCAGTAAAGGATGGAAACTAATTAAGGAGAGAAGCAATCTAGAACTAAGGAGAAAATTCCTGAAAGTGAGAACAATTAATGAGTGGAACGACTTGCCTCCAGAAGTTGTGGGTGCTCCATCACTTTCTTCAAGAAAAGATGGGACAACCATTTATCTGGAATGGTATGGGGTCTCCTACTTGAGGAGTTGGGGTTAGCCTCTAGCTAAGATTCTGTGCAGTTCAGAGAACCTCTAAATCCCACTCCTGGCTGGCCCTGCCCACCCCTCCCCTCCCAGGCGTTCCCACGCGGCCCATTTTGGATGCAGGTAAGTGCAGTTCAGCAGTTCGAATCCCTACTGCCGCGTAATGGGTGAGCTCCCATTACTTATCCCAGCTTCTGCCAACCTAGCAGTTCAAAAGCAGGTAAAAAATGCAAGTAGAAAAATATGGAATACCTTTGGTGGGAAGGGAACAGCATTCTGTGCACCTTTGGCATTGAGTCATGCTGGCCACATGACCACGGAGACATCTTCGGACAGCGCTGGCTTTTTGGCTTTGAAACGGAGATGAGCAGCGCCCCCTAGAGTCGGGAACGACTAGCACATATGTGCAAAGGGGAACCTTTACCTTTACCTTAAGTGCAGGGTGTGTGCAGAGGCTCAGGAAGGGCGAAAAATGGGCCTATTGGAAGTTCAGGAAGCTGGAAATGGGCCTGTTTATGGCCTCCAGAGTATCTCCGGAGCCTGGGGAGACCGTTTTTGCCCTTCCAGAGGCTCAAGGAAAGCCTCTGGAGCCCGGGGAGGGCAAAAACACCCTGCTACCCGCCGTGGTGCAGGAAGCCAACTAGGCCACGCCTACCATGGCCACATCCACTCAGCAACCAGGCAGAGAACCCCTTGCTAAAATTTTTGAATCCCACCCCTGCTCCTAGGTCCCTTCCACCCCTATTATTCTATGTTCTAGAGATGAAGCAGAATCAAAAAGATTTTGGGCTTTTCTGAATTCACTTCTTTCTTTCTTTCTCCCCCTTTTCATTTCCAACAGGATTGGCTGACCAAGTTTGGCTACCTGCCCCCACCGGATCCCATCACGGGACAGTTGCAGACTCAAGAAGAGCTCACCAAGGCCATCATGGTGATGCAACAGTTCGGAGGACTTGAAGCCACCGGTATTCTAGGTCAGTGAAGGAACCAAGAAAAGGTTTGGGAGGCATACCGTATTTTTCGGAGTATAAGACACAGCTTTTTCCCCAAAAAAAGAGGTTGAAAATCTGGGTGCATCTTATACTCCGAACGTAGCCCCACCCAGCTTCTCAAACGGAGGTTTCAGAGGCTGAAAAAAGCCTCCGAAATGAAGTTTCAGAAAAAAAGCCTCAGAAACAGAGCTTCAGAAAAAAAGCCCCCAAACAGAGCTTCAGAAAAAAAGCCTCTGAAGCTCTGTTTGAAAGCTGTTTTTCTGAAGCTCTGTTTCAGAGGCTTTCAGAGGCAGAAAAAAAAGTTTTTTCTGAAACAGAGTTTCAAAAGTTTCAGAGGCAGAAAAAAAAAAGCAAAAAAAAAAGCAAGGCACAGAGCTCACAACCAACGAACCTGTTGCTAAAATTCACCTTTAATTAGTATGGGCCAAAATTGTTTAAATTGTTTTTTAAAAATTTTATATTGTATGTGTTTTATCTTTGGCTGTTCACCGCCCTGAGTCCTTCGGGAGAAGGGCGGTATATAAATCCAAATAAACTTTAAACCTTAAACCTCTGGGAACAGCTGATTGAGGATATTCCGGGAGGCCGATCCACCTGCCAATCAGCTTTTTTTCTTATTTTCCTCCCCAAAAACGAAGGTGCGTCTTATATTCCGGTGCGTCTTATACTCTGAAAAATACGGTAGTTCCATTTCTGTTCCAGGTAAAGGTAAATGGCTTTGATGCAGACATCATGGGACAAAGTCTCCCATAACTTCAGGGAGGAACATTCTGTGCTGGAGAGTTGAAGGATGGGCCATAATTCACGGATGCCTTTTGGGCTTTCCCGGACCAATCTCGGAAATTGAAGGCTTAAAGCCAGAGATTCAAGGACACCGTTCTGATAAGATATATGGATGGCAGAAATGCCCTTTCGTCATGAAGGAAACCAGTGCCTGCCAACTCTAGGATTGAAGTCTTAAGTCCTGCACTCTGTAGATTCAAATACTCTGGGATTTTCTCCAGCCCTTTAGGTTGCAGGGGAATGAGAATTGTGCGGTCCTTGGTGGCCTCTGAGCTTGTTTGTTTTCTTGCAAACATTTCATTGGCAAAGTAGATAATGCTAGCACTATGATGTTACCTAATTCGATAGTGAAACATCTGCAAGAAAACCTCCAAGCTCAGAGACGATCAAGGACCTCCTCCTCCTCCTCCCTTCTAGCACTGATGACATTACCTACAGTAGTTGGTAATGAAATGTCTGCAAGAAAACTGCCAAACTCAAAGATCACCAAGGATCTCACACTCCTCCTCCTCCCTGCAAACTTCACTCCCTTCTAGCACTGATGATGTAACCTAGTTGGTCATGAAACATCTGCAAGAAAACCGCCATGCTCAGAGAGCGTCAAGTACCCATCCTTCTTCTCCTTCTCCTTCTTCTCCTTCTCCTTTCTCTCCTTCTCCTCCTTCTTCTCCTTCTTCTCCTTCTCCTTCTCCTTCTCCTTCTCCTTCTCCTTCTCCTCCTCCTCCTCCTTCTCCTTCTCCTCCTTCTCCGTCTCCTTCTCCTCCTTCTCCTCCTTCTCCTTCTCCTTCTCCCCCCAAATCCCCTCCTTTTTAACACTGATGATGTAACCTAGTTGGGTCATGAAACATCTGCAAGAAAACCGCCATGCTCAGAGAGCGTCAAGTACCCATCCTTCTTCTCCTTCTCCTTCTTCTCCTTCTCCTCCTTCTCCTCCTTCTTCTCCTTCTTCTCCTTCTCCTTCTCCTTCTCCTTCTCCTTCTCCTCCTCCTCCTCCTTCTCCTTCTCCTTCTCCTCCTTCTCCGTCTCCTTCTCCTCCTTCTCCTTCTCCTTCTCCCCCCAAATCCCCTCCTTTTTAACACTGATGATGTAACCTAGTTGGGTCATGAAACATCTGCAAGAAAAACACCAAGCTCAGAGAGCGTCAAGTACCCATCCTTCTCCTTCTCCTTCTCCTTCTCCTTCTCCTTCTCCTTCTCCTTCTCCTTCTCCTTCTCCTTCTCCTTCTCCTTCTCCTTCTTTTCCTTCTCCGTCTCCTTCTCCTCCTTCTCCTTCTCCTTCTCTTCCCAAATCCCCTCCTTTTTAACACTGATGATGTAACCTAGTTGGGTCATGAAACATGACAAGAAAACCACCAAGCTCAGAGAGCACCAAGGGCCCTACAGTCCTCTTCTTCCTCCTCCTCCTCCTCTCCACAACTCCACCTCCCTTCTAGCACTGATGACATTACCTAGTTGGGCAATGAAACATCTGCAAGAAAACTGCAAAGCTCAGAGACCACCAAGGACCTCGCACTCCTCCTCCTCTTCCTCCTCCTCTTCTTCTTCACAACTTCCCCTCCAGAGGTGGGTTTCAGCAAGTTCTGACCAGTTCTGGAGAACCGGTAGCGGAAATTTTGAGTACTTTGGACAAACCGGCAAATACCACCTCTGACTGGCCCCGCTCCCATCTATTCTCTGACTCCCAACTCCCAGCTGATCAGGAGGAAATGGGGATTTTGCAGTAACCTTCCCCTGGAGTGGGGAGGGAATGGAGATTTTACAGTATCCTTCCCCTGCCATGCCCACTAAGCCACGCCCACCAAGCCATGCCACGCCCATCAAGCCACACCCACAGAACCGGTAGTAAAAATTCTGACTGGCCCCGCCCCCATCTATTCTCTGCCTCCCGAGTCCCAGCTGATTGGGAGGAAATGGGGATTTTGCAGTAACCTTCCCCTGCCACGCCCACCAAGCCATGCCCACCAAGCCATGCCACGTCCACAAAACCGGTAGTAAAAATTTTTGAAACCCGCCACTGCTCCCTTCCCTTCTAGCACTGATGACGTTAACTAGTTGGGTAACGAAACGTCTCCAAGAAATCTGCCAAGCTCAGAGAGCACCAAGGATGGGAAAACATTCTTTATATAAGATCGCCCCCTGAATGTCCAGTCAAGAAACCGCGTTGCCTGCCTGTGAAACTGCTTTGCCATTGCCCATGCCATCCTCTGCCCTCAGATGGCCTCCTGCTCATTCGAAAGCCCCACCCTCTTGCAGACAAGGATGATGGGACCTCTGATTGGCTGCTTAGGGACTCCACAGCCCCTGCCTCTTTTCCTGGCAGCCCCTCTTCAAAGTTCTCTGCCCCGGCCTCTAGCAGCATTTGCCAAAACTCTTCTCGCCTTGCTTCTTAATTAAGGAGATGTCATTATTAATTTTTTCCCCCCTTTCCTTTTCTTTTCCTTTCCCATCTTATTAGATGCTCCAATGGTTGGCTGGGAGCCAAAGGACGAACGTTTGATCTTTATTTTGAGTCTTTTTTTTCTTTTTTTCAAACACAGCCACTCCAGATAGAAAAAAGGCACACCACTTAACGTCCAAACAAGAGCGTGCAGTTTCTTCTTTGGAAAGGCTAATCGGAAGAACGTTTTGCAAAAGTTATTATTTTCCCCCTCTTCGTTTTGGGTTTGTTGTTCTGAAACCGTGCCATTCTCAACATAAACTCTCTGGATTGCTTTGCCGTCCCTGTCCTTTTTTTCCCTCTTTTTTCATATTTTCTTTCTCTTTCTCGGGAAGAGACAGGTTTCTCTTGATTTGCAAGGATTTTTAGCGTGTGAGGGCCAGAGGAAGCATGGATGGAGCAAGGAAAATGGGCCAGGTTTTCATCACACCCCCCTTTTGAAAATGGGGGGGGTGTAGGCGGAGTGTGGTTTCAGCAGGTTCTGACCAGTTCTGGAGAACCGGTAGCGGAAATTTGATTAGTACGGAGAACCGGTAGTAAAAATTCTGACTGGCCCCACCCCCATCTATTCGCTGCCTCCCAAGTCCCAGCTGATCAGAATGGAGATTTTGCAATAATTTTGAGTAGTTCAGAGAACCGGCAAATACCACTTCTGGCTGGCCCCAGAGTTGGGTGGGAATGGAGATTTGGCAGTATCCTTCCCCCAGGAGTGGGGAGAGAATGGAGATTTTGCAGTATCCTTCCCCTGGAGTGGGGTGGAAATGGAGATTTTGCAGTATCCTTCCCCTGGAGCGGGGTGGGAATGGAGATTTTGCAATATCCTTCCCCTGGAGCGGGGTGGGAATGGAGATTTTGCAGTATCCTTCCCCCAGAAGTGGGGTGAGAATAGAGATTTTGCAGTATCCTTCCCCTGGAGTGGGAGGGAATGGAGATTTTGCAGTGTCCTTCCCTTGCCATGCCCACCAAGCCATGCCCACAGAACCGGTAGTAAAAAAAAAATTGGATTTCACCACTGCCTAGAACCCTTAACCATTCATCATATATTTTAGTTTCTAGTTTTTGTTAAGTCATCCCTGCCCCTAGTGGTGAGTTTCAAAAATCTTTACTACCGGTTCTGTGGGTGTGGCTTGATGGGCGTGGCTTGGTGGGCGTGGCAGGGGAAGGATACCGTAAAATCTCCATTCCCTCCCCACTCCAGGGGAAGGATACTGCAAAATCTTCATTCCCTCCCCACTCCAGGGGAAGGATACTGCAAAATCTCCATTCCCACCCAACTCTGGGGCCAGCCAGAGGTGGTATTTGCCGGTTCTCTGAACTACTCAAAATTTCCGCTACCGGTTCTCCAGAACCTGTCAGAACCTGCTGGATTTCACCCCTGGTTCTAGGTATGTCTAGTCTAACAAAGAGAAAGGCTAGGGAGACAGGATAGCAGTCTTCCAATATTTGAGGGGCTGCCAGAAAAAAAGGGGGGGCAATTTATTCTCCAAAGCCCCTGAGGGGAAGGAGAGGTGGAAGATCATCAAAGAGAGATCCAACCTAGAAATAAGGAGAAATTTCCTGACAGTGAAAACAAATAATCAGTGGAACTGCTTACTTCCAGAAATGAGGGTGTTCCATCTACCAAACATTTCAAAGGTGTCAGATGTAAATGCCTTATTCTCCAATGTGTAAATAATGTATATATGGAACATCAGAGGTTAACTTATTCTTTGGACTTTAATGTATTCATAACTTACCACTCCCATTCCTAGCTCCACCCCTTGTATATATAAGGAGCCACCCTCACCATTCTCGTCGCTTCTACCTTGAATATTCAGTGAATATAGAATGCCTATCATAATTAAAAAGAAATATATTTAAAGCTTTAACTTCTATTATCTTTATTGAGTCTGATCCTGAAAATATTGCAACAGATAATTTAATCGAGAATGTCATGCAATAACTTTTATGAAGGTTTTGCTATTCAAATAACAGTTACAGCATAAAGAAGAAAAGTGAAACACGCAGAAAAAATGAGATGTACAAAAATTATCACTATATAGAAAAAACGAGATATGAAAAAACGATCCCCGTGTCAGTTAATACTTCGTTGGGTAACCTTTAGCATGAATGATGGCCTTGCAACGTCTTCCCATGGAGTGAACCAAGTCTTTGAGTTCTGCAGCTGTTATCATGTGAAACCAAGATTGAACTGGGTTTAACTGGGTTTTATTGCTGGGTGGCTTCTGGGTGGCTTCTGACCAACAAGTTTCTTTAGTCGGCTCCATAGATTTTCCATTGGGTGAAGGTCTGGGCTATTCCCAGGCCATTCCAGCAGTGGAATAGGATTATCTTGAAACTCCCCCAAAAAGTGGTGTTATTAGCCATCAAAGCTCAAAAATACACTTTTCCCAAAAGGCTTCCACAATTTTGGCCACTACTATATGTTTGTTTTTCTTAAATCCCAGGTGGGATGTTATGTCTATAGGAATGGAGGAAGATCCAATATTCTTTCTTTTGGGTCTTTCCTGGGGGGATCTGTAGATGAAGCCACCTTCAAACTGATGAAGACACCACGTTGTTCGTTGCCGGATCTTGCAGAATCAAAGACGAGGAAGAAACGGTATACCCAAGGAACTACCAAGTGGAACAAAAGGAATTTATCCTGGAGGTAGGAAATTAAATCATTCGTGCCATCACCGCCGTTTTGGTGAGGGACGAAGGAGGCTCTTCTCACCAAAGGATAGTATAATCACCCAACAGATGCCATTTCATATATGTTGGATGTAAACCAGTGATGGGTTTCAAATTTTTTTACTACCAGTTCTGTGGGTATGGCTTGTTGGGCATGGCATGGCTTGCTGGGTGTGGCTTGGTGGGCATGGCAGGGGAAGGATACTGCAAAATCCCCATTTCTTCCCGATCAGCTGAGACTCAGGAGGCAGAGAATAGATGGGGGTTGGGGCCAGTCAGAATTTTTACTACCGGTTCTCCGAACTACTCAAAATTTCTGCTACCGGTTCTCCGGAATTGGTTAGAACCTGCTGAAACCCACCTCTGATGCAAACGCTCTCAAATTTGGTCTCCGTTATAATTTAAAGTGGGGAGGGCTCTTGCTTTCTTCAACCTCCCAGAAAGAGCTTTGGTTTGCTTGTAGTCCAAACTGGAGAGTTCTAGCTTTGTTGGGTTGTTTGGTGAGATTTGTTGGTAGGGTTACAAATTGTGATTTGGAGAGGATTGGTCAGCATTGTGGTTTCAGGGGGTGTGCTGGACAAATGTTGGGTATGTCTGGTTTAATGAAAAGAAGGACTAGGGGTGACATAGCAGTGTTCCAATATCTCAGAGGCTGCCACAAAGAATAGAGGGCCAACCTGTTCTCTAAAGCACCTGAGGGGAGGACAAGAAGCAATGAATGGAAACTAATCCAGGAGAGAAGCAACCTAGAACTAAGGAGAAATTTCATGACAGTCAGAACAATTAACCAGTGGAACAACTTGCCTCCAGAAGTTTTGGGTGCTTCATCACTGGAGTTTTTAAAGAAGAGATTGGACAGCCATTGTCCAATGGCTGTCCAATGGATATTTGAGGGGCTGCCACAGAGAGGAAGAAGGGGGTCAAGCTATCTTCCAAAGCACCTGAAGACCAGACAAGGAATAATGGATGGAGACAGAACAAGGAGAGATTCAACCTGGAAATAAAGAGAAGTTTTCTGACAGTGAGAGCAATCAACCCATGGAACAGAAGTTGCCTTCAGAAGTTGTGGGAGCTTCATCACTGGAAGATTTCAAGAAGAGACTGGACTGCCATCTGTCAGAAATGGTGTAGGGCCTCCTGCTTGGGTGGGGGATTGGAATAGATGACCTACAAGGTCCCTTCCAACTCTGAATCTAATCAAGAAGAGAAGCAACTTAGAACGGCATTCCATGCGCCTTTGGCGTTGAATCATGCCGGCCAAATGACCACGGAGACGTCTTCGGACAGCGCTGGCTCTTTGGCTTTGAAACGGAGATGAGCACCGTCCCCTAGAGTCGGGAACGACTAGCACATATGTGCGAGGGGAACCTTCATCTTTACTGTTAGTTGACCAGATCCTTGTTCTGATTTGCAAATGAATTCAGGTCTGTTCGGTTTCCTAAAAACGCAGACCAAATAACGGAAAGCAGAATAGAAGGGGATGTATTCACAAGTTGGGTTGTGACTCACAAGGTTTAGACCTCACTGGCACGTTTGGAAGTTTGCCTTTTAACTAAAAACCCTCTTAAATACCGCTCCCTTGCCACCGAGGTCTTCAGCTCTGAACCCGGATCATGTCGGGAGAAAGATCAATTTGGCCATTGGGCATGATTTATTCCCTCTCTAGGACTCTTAACATCAACATGAGCCGGAGATCTCGCTCCCGGGAGAGAATTTTGCAAGATGAACACGTTCTTCAGTTAGCTTCTCTTGACCTTAGCCAACTCATCCAGAATTCAGCGATGTGGCCAGAGCTCCCTCTACTGCCGCGTTGGAGAGTTTGTGGAGCGTTTGTGATGATAGTGATCAAGAGGGTGTAAGGAAGGAAAGCGTGGAAGAAGCTCTCTTGAGAGGCTGCAGCTCCATCACCGGAGGCCTTCAAGAAAAAAAATTGGACAGCCGTTTGTCTAAGACAGGGGTTGGCAACCTTAAACACTCAACCGGAAGCCCCCCATTCAATTCTGGAGCTGACCGGAAGTCTGGTTCCCCCTACCATAGAGTCTCTTCCTAGCGTGGCGTCCTTTTTCCTCTACCTGTCCTAAGTGAACGCTCTATCAATTGTGGAGCCAACTGGCGACAGGGAGCCGCAGCAGAGGAATGAAAGAGCCACATGCGGCTCCAGAGCCGCAGGTTGCCGACCTCCCCCTCCTCCCCTCTTCCTCCTCCTCTTCCCCTCTTTCTCTTTCTCTTCTTCCTCCTCCTCCTGCTCCTCTTCCTCCTCCTTCCCCTCCTCCTCCCTTTACCATTTTGGATGTCAAGAGAGCTACAAGTCCCTGCTCTTGCTCTTCATTATTATTTGATGGTGTTGTAGCCCATCTTTGATATCTTGTCTCTCCATCTTCTTCTGAGTCTTCTTCTTTTACCTTACTGTGCTTTGTTTCCCGACTTGCCATTTTTCCCGGAGTCATGAACGGAAAGGAAGAAGACACCCCTTGTCTACCTCTCATGAAATCATTTTGAGTCCCCAAGCAGCGATTGTGGGAACTGCGAACCCGTACCAGCCATCGCCGCTCCATCAGCTGTGTCCACATCAGGACAGGTGTAAATCCGTTGAGACCTGGTGGGGAGAATGAAGCAAAGAAACTTCCCCTTCCTTCGCCAACTGCTTCTGCATTATTTCCTCTCCTGCTTTAGATCCCCGTCTGAATCTGGTCGGATATAAAAGAGGTTAAAAATGCAATCCATTAATAAAGCAATGCCTGGAGCTAGGTCTTATTTTATGGATGCGGATGTCTGGCCGTGTTCAGTGGAGGGTAAAAAGACCTTTGCAGGTGCCAAAACCGGAAGGAAAATGCTTCACCTGTATGCGGAGATAATGAGGCATTTATAGCCTCCTGGGCGTGCAGTGAGGGTTCATCCATTGACACTTTGAACGAATGAATTTCTCCACTTGCCTTTCTGCAAATAGGGACGTTGCCAACTCGGAAATGAATTTCTGTCCCTTGCGATGGCCGGATGAAGAGCCACAGGCTTCCCCAAAATCAGTCTCTTTCCACCCCCGGTTTTATCAGGAAGCTACAGCAGCAACGCTGGGCAACCTCATGGAAGGAGGAGGATCAATGTTGCTCGGAGTCCTACTGGGGTCTCGTTTTGTGTCACACTCTGATACCTTGCTGTCTTACAGCCTTCATCCTTAAAGGAGAAAAGGAAGGAAGGAAGGAAGGAAGGAAGGAAGGAAGGAAGGAAGGAAGGAAGGAAGGAAGGAAGGAAAATGAGAGGAAGGGTGGAAGGAAAGATGGACAGATGGAAGGAAGGATGAAAGGGGAGAGAGAGAGAGAGATGAAGAGAGGGAGGGAGGAAAGGAGGAGAGCAGAGGAAAGGAAAGGGGAAGGAAGGAAAGAAGGAACAGAGGAGGGAGGGAAGGAAGGAAGGAAGGAGATGAAAGGAAGGTGGGAGGGAAGAAGGAGAGGAGGGAGGAGATGAAAAGAGGGAGGGAGGAAAAGGAAAGCAGAGGAAAGGAAAGGGGAAGGAAGGAAAGAAGGAACGGAGGAGGGAGGGAAGGAAGAAAGGAAGGAGATGAAAGGAGCGTGGGAGGGAAGAAGGAGAGGAAGGAGGAAGGAAGGAGGGAGATGAAAGGAGGGAGGGAGGAAAGAAGGAGAGCAGAGGAAAGGAAAGGAAAGGGGAAGGAAAGAAGGAACGGAGGAGGGAGGGAAGGAAGGAAGGATTGATTCACAGGATTTCAAAACAGAAAAACAAAAGAAGGCAGTTCCTGCGTGAAGCTAAGCTCATAATGCTGTATTATCTGCGAAGAGAGGATGATTGGTTTTTTTCCAGTGGTTTATGGCAACTGTTGAGAGTGGAGCTTTGCTCACAAAAACAAATCACTTTTTCATTAAATCATTTTGCAAGCCTGCTCTTGGAGGCAGGGAATAAAACACCCGCTCTGGACAGATAGTTTAAAAAACGGGCGAAGCTCTCCGCTTCTATGGACTGTGTACTTGAGTCCGGCCGTCTCTAGATAAGCCGATCTGGGGGGTTTCTTTGCTATAGGAGATGCTCCCCGTGGAACACAGCACATGATGTACAGACTGCTTTATCAGTGGCGACAGATGCGTAGCTTGAAACAAACGGCTTAAAATGTACTTTATTGATCAGCTCAGCTTTCTTTAACCAGGCAGCGTGCTTCATTTTTAAATAATTGTCTGGTTTTATGGCTTTTTTGTTGTTGTTGTTGTTGTAAGCCGTAAAGAACTTAACGGAGTTAAATAAGCAGGGTGGCCTTACTCCAGGGAGTCCTCGATTTACGGCCGTCACTTGAGCCCCAAATTTCCATGGTTAAGCGAGACATTTTGTCAAGTGAGTTTTGCCCCATTTGACAGCCGGTTGTTAAGTGAATCATAGGCAGTTGATAAGTTAGAAAGCGGGTCGTTAAGTGAATCTGGCTTCTCCCATTGACTTTGCTTGTCAGTAGGTCATAAAAGGGGATGACGTGACCTCGGGACAGGCAACGGTCATAAATATGAACCAGTTGCCAAGCAACTGAATTTTGATCACATGAGCGTGGGGTGCTGCAAAGGTCGTAACTGTGAAAAACGGTCATAAGTCACGTTGCTCAGTGCCGTTGTAACTTTGAACCACCACTAAATGAACCATTGTAAGTCGAGGACTACTTTGTCCTCTAGAAATCTTGAAATGATGGTTCTCAACATTCTTAGCTAAGTTTCCCCCCCCCACCCCACCCCAATTCTTCTGGGTGTTGCAGGACCACAAGCTAAGAAAGACAGAGATATATTGTGGTGGTGGAAAGAAGGATATCTCAGAGGTGATTTTTTTTCAAGAGGCAAATGGACTTTCTGGTTTTTCTTTGAAGGCATTTCACTTCTCATCCAAGAAGCTTCTTCAGCTCTGACTGGATGGTGGAGAATGGAAGGATTGATGCTCCTTGCAGACAGCTGGCCATTTGCATCCTTTGAGAGAGTCGTTGAGGTTTATCTGTGTCCTCAGGTCACCTGAGTGGTGCAATTGGTTCCTGTAGTCCGCAATTTTTTCTTCTGCAAATCCATTCTTACTCCCACACCATTCAAAGGATGTTCATTCCAAATTGTATAGCTAAAAGTCTGTAGAGATTCTCAGTCATTCAGGCCACAGTTGTCCCAAAGGTGCTTTTTCTCAAGAGGCAACTGGACTTTCTTGGTTTTCTTTGAAGACATTTTGCTTCTCATCCAAGAAGCTTCTTCAGCTCTGACTGGATGGTGGGGAATGGAAGGATTTGTATTCCTTGCAGACAGCTGGTCGTTTGCATCCTTTTAGAGGGTCGTTGAGGTCACTTGGAGGTCTATCTGTGTCCTCAGGGTCACCTGAGTGTTGCTAATGGGTGTGGAGCCTTCTTGGAACCGCTGAAAGGACTGTGTTGTAGACTTAAGAGAGACAATGTCCTATCCCTCCCCCTCTGTTGAGAGAGGGCTGTTCAATTTTGACATCGATGGCCTCTTTGACCCCTCTTTCAACCCAATTTGCATTACTGATGACACAGCTAAACCTCCAAGTGCCCTCCAGGACCTTCTAAAAGGATGCAAATGTCCAGCTGTCTGCAAGGAATACAAATCCTTCCATTCCTCATCTGTCTCTCCTTCTGAGGAGCTTCCATTCATTGCTTCTTGTCTTGCCCTCATCTTCTCTGCCTGGTGAGGATTCAACATCAGAAGGCAATCGCAAAGACCATTCCGGATGTGTCTGCATTGCTTTTGATGGGATCCTTCTTTCCAAACCTCATAATCCTTCTCTAGCACTGATGACGTTACCTAGTTTGGATAATGAAACATTGGCAAGAAAACAAGCAAGCTCAGAGAACACCAAGGATGCCACAGTTCCTCCTCCTCCTCCTCCTCCTCCTCCTCCTCCTCCTCCTCCTCCTCTTCTTCTTCTTCTTCTTCTTCTTCTTCTTCTTCTTCTTCTTCTTCTTCTCTCCTTCTTCTTCTCTCCTTCTTCTTCTAAATCTTCTGAAGGAGCTGAAGGAGCTTCTTAGATGAAAAGCGAAACGTCTTCTGAGAAAAACTAGCAAGTCTTGGAAAAAAACACCTTTGGGACAACCATGACCTAGATGACCGAGAATCTCCTTAGATATTTGAAAGAAGGATGCTGTGTTGATCCTAGTTCATCCTCTTTTAGGGTTCGAACGTTCCCGAAAGAATCCCACCTGGGCCACGACACAGTTCGCGCCCTGATGTACTACGCCTTGAAGGTATGGAGTGACATCACGCCCCTCAATTTCCACGAAGTGGCCGGCAACAATGCGGACATCCAGATTGACTTCTCCAAAACCGATCACAACGATGACTACCCCTTTGATGGCCCTGGGGGCACGGTAGCCCATGCTTTCTTCCCAGGAGAACATCATACTGCTGGAGACACTCACTTTGATGACGATGAATATTGGACATTCCGGTCATCAGGTATGTGGGGCAGGAGAAGGACCAAAGGACTAATTTTACATCTGGTTCGCCGAACTGGCTGGCCCCACCCACCCCGCCCCTCGCAGGAGTCATCCAAGCAGCTTGTTTTGGATGCCAGGTAAGTGCAGGGCCCACACGGAGGCTTTGGGAGGGCGAAAACAGGCCTCCTGGAAGTTCCAGAAGTCTGGAAACGCTTCGAACCGCTGAACTGCCGACCTTTCGATTGACAGGCTCAGCATCTTAGCCACTGAGCCATCGCGTCCCTGCAAGATGTGGTTATTGTGTCCTAAATTCCCATTTTGGAAAGATCGGGAATCCCGTTTTAAACACTAATGAGACCATGACTAGTTTCAAACACAATCTTTGTTTGAATCTGGTTCTCCGTTAGTGATGATCTAATATGGACCTGATACTGTGTACGAGAACTTAAGGGAAAGATGGAAGCTCCTCATTTATGCATTGGTCTAACGTGGCTCTTCCCTCTTAATTTCAGATACCGACGGGATGGATTTGTTCGCTGTGGCAGTTCACGAATTTGGACACGCCATCGGCTTAAGCCACATCTCTGCCACGGAATCAATCATGAGGCCGTACTACCAGGGACCGGTCGGAGACCCCTTGAAATATGATTTGCCGTATGAAGACAAAGTCCGGATTTGGCAGTTGTACGGTGAATGTCAGACACCTCCCAGCTAATTGGACAAGGGCACAGGGACACGGTGGCTCAGTGGCTAAGATGCTGAGCTTGTCGATCGAAAGGTCGGCAGTTCAGCGGTTCGAATCCCTAGCGCCGTGTAACGGGGTGAGCTCCCGTGACTTGTCCCAGCTTCTGCCAACCTAGCAGTTCGAAAGCACATAAAAAATGCAAGTAGAAAAATAGGGACCACCTTTGGTGGGAAGGGAACAGCACTCCATGCGCCTTTGGCATTGAGTCATGCTGGCCACATGACCACAGAGATGTCTTCGGACAACGCTGGCTCTTCGGCTTTGAAATGGAGATGAGCACCGCCCCCTAGAGTCAGGAACGACTAGTACATTTGTGCGAGGGGAACCTTTACCTTTACATATTTTATTATTTGAAAAAACAAACTTAAAAGACCATTACAGGTAGTCCTCAACTTACAACAGTTCGTTTGGCGACCACTTGAAGTTACAACAGTACTGAAAAGAGGGACTTATGCCCCTTTTTCACACTTATAACCATTGCAGCATCCCCGTGATCACGTGATCAAAATTCAGACGCTTGGCAACTGGCATGTACTTATGACGGTTGCAGTGTCCTGGGGTGTCCCTTTTTTGCGACCCTCTGACAAGCAAAGTCAACAGGGATGCCAGATTCGCTTAACAACTGTGTTACTAATGTAGCAACGGCAGTGGATTCACTTAACAACTATGGGGGGAAAGGCCCTGAAATAGGGCAAAATTGACTTATGAATTCTCTCGCCTAGCAACAAGTTTGGGGCTCTGCTGTGGTCATAAGTCGAGGACTACCTGCATTGACGATAATCCAGATTTAGAGTTCTTGTGGCTCTTTCTCCTGCTCCATAAAAGTGAGAACTACAGTATCCAATTCTTTCATGTTTTAATGGCAGGCCATTCTAATTGCAGTAGTTCCCTGTAAAAGTAAATGCTAATAAAAAATAGCATTTACATAAGTAGATGGTGTGAGAGCCAACTTTCACAAAGAGTTGGCCTTGTGGGGGGCCTTCTTGTCTCGGCTGGGTAGAAGAAAAAAGGAGACGAGAGGTTGGCGTCACATACTGTAACAATCGGTTCGCCCAGCACCGGAAAGATGAGCGCGCACATCCGTGTATCCTTGTGGTGTCAAAAAACACGGCAATTCTCTCACACGCACCGTCCATGGGTGCTTATGGCATCAAAAAATACAGCAATTCTCTCACATGCAGTGTCCATGCATGCGTATGGTGTCACAAAACACGGCAATTCTCTCACATGTGCCGTCCATGCATGTGTATGGCGTTAAAAAACACGGCAATTCTCTCACATGCGCCATCCATGCGTGCGTATGGCGTCAAAAAACATAGCGATTCACTCGAGTGCACCGTCCATGTGTGTGTATGGCATCAAAAAACACAGCAATTCTCTCACACGCGCTGTCCATGCATGCATATGGCGTAAAAAAATGGCAATTCTCTCACACGCGCCGTCCATACATGCATATGACAACAAAAAACATGGCAATTCTCTCACACGCGCTGTCCGCACATGCGTGCAACATCAAAAAACACTGAGCTATAGGACGGGATTGCGCCTGGGCAGGTGGGAGGGCCCACTCCACCCACAGGTCACAACTACTGGTTCGCCCGAACCGGCCCGAACCAGGAGCAGCCCACCACTGGATGTATTCAATTTCTCCATTCAGAAATATATCAGATTTCTCAGATGTTAAAACTGAGGCATGGGCTAGTAATCTGGAGTGATTTAGGAATTGGGAACTCATGTTGAAGGAGAAATGGGAAGGCCCAAGGGGACCATGGTGGAGAATATGATGATGGGTTCTTAGAAGATGCTGTAGAGTGGTGCGGTAGCCTAGAGGTGCTACTCTCACCTCACAATCAGGAGACTGTGAGTTTGATCCTAGGTAGAGGCAGATATTTCTCTCTCTCTGGGCACAATGAGAATAGATCTGCAGAACAAAACTCCGCATTGGCGACAGGAAGGGCATCCGGCCAGCAAACGTTTTGCTAGCTCCATTCAGTTGCCCAGACTCCATCTTGCAAGGGATTATGGGGTCGTTAAAAGATGATCTTAGAAGATGCTATCTCTGGAAACATCAGCTTGGGTGATCTGTTTTGATGTCCAAGTTGCTTTAACCCATCCTTGTTTTTCCTCTGCAGGAGTCAGAGAATCTGTGTCCCCGACGGCTAAGCCTGAAATATCAAACGCAGATGATGACCATCCCATCCTGCCAGATTTCCCTGAGAATCGCTCCACTGTCCCGTAAGCTAAATTGCACACCCCCATTTCTTTGGGAAGGAATAGAAGCTGAAAGGATTATTGAACTAGTATCGGGCGAAATTTGGGTTGCACAGGAGCAGCATCAATGTTCTGCCATCCCAACTCCAGATACCATCTCTTCCATTTAGAGCAGAAAGTGTTTGACTTCATAGATCGGGGGCATCTCTCAGAGATGTAGGTCTTTCTATAGAATGAATGAGCTGGAAGGGACCTTGGAGGTCTTCTAGTCCAGCCCCCTGCTGAAGCAGGAGAAACTATAGGATTTCAGACAAGTGACTGTCTAGTCTCTTGATGAAGCACCCACAACTTCTGAAGGCAACTTCTGTTCCACTGGTTGATTGTCCTCACTGTTAGGAAGCTTCTCCTTAATTCCAGGTTGCTTCTCTCTTTGATTAGTTTCCATCTATTGTTTCTTACCCTGCCCTCTGGTGCTTTGGAGAATAATTTGACCCCCCCTCCCCTCTCTGTGGCAGCCCCTCAAGTGCTTTAAACAAGGATGGTGCATAGCAGCCATCAGATGTCCTCAGAAGTAATGGATATTAAGGGATTGAAGACCAAATTCTGGAGAGGAAACATATAGACTAGACTAGACTAGACTAGACTAGAGCAGAGCAGAGCAGAGCAGAGCAGAGCAGAGCAGAGCAGAATTCTTTATTGGCCAAGTGTGATTGGACACACAAGGACTTTGTCTTGGTACATACGCTCTCAGTGTACATAAAAGAAAAGATCTAAGATAGATTGGTACATGAGGTTATTGTGTCCTAAATTCCCATTCTGGAAAGATCGGGAATCCAGTTTTAAACACTAATGGGACCATGAGGATATGACTATGAGTTTCAATCACAATATTTGTTTGAACCTGGTTCTCCGCAAGTGATCTATTATGGACCTGATACGTGATGAAGAGGGATGCGGTGGCTCAGTGGCTAAGACGCTGAGCTTGTCAATTGAAAGGTCGGCAGTTCAGCGGTTCAAATCCCTAGTGTTGTGTAATGGGGTGAGCTCCCGTGACTTGTCCCAGCTTCTGCCAACCTAGCAGTTTGAAAGCACGTAAAAAATGCAAGTAGAAAAATAGGGACCACCTTTGGTGGGAAGGGAACAGCGTTCCGTGCGCCTTTGGCATTGAGTCATGGCGGCCATATGACCACGGAGACGTCTTTGGACAGCGCTGGCTCTTTGGCTTTGAAACGGAGATGAGCACCGCCCCCTAGAGTCAGGAACGACTAGCACATATGTGCGAGGGGAACCTTTACCTTACTAGATGAAGATTCCCTGAAGATTTTCACCCCTGAGTTTTCTTTCTTCTTCCTGTTTTTTTGGGAGAGACCCAAACTTGGCCAATAACGATAAGGTGGCTTTCTGATCAGAAGGCAAAAATGGTTATCCTTCCGTGAAGATCCAAAGCAGCTGAACATTCATCCTGGGCCACGAAGTCAGCTTGCAATTCCGTGGCCTCAGTCACGTTGCGAAGATGAAACTCATTCTGGGAGAAGCAGCAAAAAAATTAACCCTCCTTGAAAATGGCCGATCTCTCATGTCCCATTTTTCACAATCCCTAGTGATGAAGAGAGGTTAGCGGTGCTGTCTCCTTCAAAGTCATTTTATTTTATTTTATTTTATTTTTTGCAGGAAGCGGAGTGCAAGCAAGCCACAGCTTCCCAGCCCGCTCGATTGCACCCAATTTCTCTCCTGTTTGGCAGATGTAATTTTGTGATAACTTTGGATGAATTTGAGTAAATTTGAGCTGAAGAATTTGGCTTTTTTTTTTTTTTTTAAACGCTAGGAAAATAGGTCATCCCCATCCTATATGCTGCTTGGATTTTGCAAACCTGGTTGATAAAAAGAGTCCCTCCCAGGATGTTAATTTAAAAAAAAAATAAATGAAGAGGGATGATCTTTAAGGCAGACAAGCACATAGGTCTCCTCCGTTGCCTTTGTTCTCCTTGGCGCATTTCAAATTGCTCAGGCTGAAATTGGCAAGAATTAAAAGAATGGAATGGAATGGAATGGAATGGAATGGAATGGAATGGAATGGTAGAGTAGAGTAGAGTAGAGTAGAGTAGAGTAGAGTAGAATAGAATAGAATAGAATAGAATAGAATAGAATAGAATAGAATAGAATAGAATAAGAAAGCAGAAGGGAAGGGAAGGGAAGGGAAGGGAAGGGAAGAGAAGAGAAGAGAAGAGAAGAGAAGAGAAGAGAAGAGAAGAGA